CCTGGTCTCACTTTAAAGCATGATTCTGACTCAGAAGGCATCGCCGTCCTTACATACCAGCTGGTGCCAGTGAGGTCACTAGGATTACTGTCCCCAGCCACCTTCCTCCTCTCCTGCAATCTCTCCTGACCCCATGGGTTGACTGCCCTGTTGGCCTGGGGGAGTGGGGAAGCCCACAGCCCCTGAGGGAGATGCTCTGAGCACAGACACAGCTCAATGTAAAGGGTTGTTGGCATTTTCAGAAGAAAATAATTGACTCTATTTGCCTAGTCTAATTTTTAAATCCCTCTTAATCCTGTATCAAGACAAGGCTACAAGTAGTGACTTTCCCATTTTTAAATGAGTATTACACCCTCTCCACGCCTAACCTGAAAACTCAAATGGAATTAAATAACCCAGACGCACTAGAATGGTGATGTTACATAAAAGAGAACTAAGGGGGCCGCCCTGACCCCCCTTTCAGGGGAGCGGTCAACGACCATAGTATTTTTATCCCTGGAAACACACGCTCGTAAGAGCCCAGAAATAAACCGAGTCTGAACTACCCAGTTTGACAGAATTGGAGCAAAAGAAATAAATGCTTCTGTTTATCCCAATTTCACATACGGACCACCTAGAAATGTCCAGCTTCGCTTTCCGCAGTCTTGGATGTGTACACTGGCTTTATTTCCACTGATAAAGACATCTTGGGCCAAACAAAATGCATTTTTTTAACATGGGAAGTTACGTTTGAAAATCTACAGAGTCAATGACCTCTGGTGGTGGTTTCTTGGTGTTTTGTTTTTGTGAGGAAGGAGGCGATTTTGTCTGGGGGCCCCACCTGGCGCTGTGGGCCCCAGGGGATGCTCCTGTCTGTGCTCAGATGGGACCCTCTCAGTCCCATCCCTGCGATGCTCAGGAGACAGGCAGAGCACTGAGAGTGGAGCCTTCAGCTCTGCCTCTCTCAGCTTCTTGCTGGGAATTTCCAGGGGAGTATGAATCGAGCGTGTCTGGCCTCAGGCTTCTCTCAAGGGCAATGCCCGTACTCTGCCTGGACAGTAAATCAGCTGTGGGGGTGATGATGCTGCCGGGACAGGCCCTGGCACCCCCGAAAGAGCTGCCATTCGGAGTCTGCTCTGCCTGGCTAATCTAGCATTTCCCTCTCTGTGCTCAGTGTTCAGGTCAAGACGGTCGTTCCCCGGGGGTCCCAGTGGATGGTGTGTCTCCCCCCACCCCACCCCAGAGCCCGGGGGTTTTCCCCTTGCAATTCTAGAAGTTATCCTGGTGGCCTCTGGGGGCAGGGTTAGAGACCCTCTGGGAGACCCTCTGGGAACTGGAGAGCAGAGGAGCCCCACACCGTAGCTTTCAGGAGAAGCTACAGATTTGGGTGAAAAGCCAGGAAAGCGGGGGTGGGGGGGCAGTGGGAGGCTTGAGGTCAAAGGGGAGGAGGAAGAGGCGAAGAAACAAGAGATGAAAGGGAGAAGTAGGAGGAAGGTGGACTGACGGGAAGGGGGGGTTGGTGAGGTCAGAGAGAGAGAATCCAGCAGGACGAGGTGTACTGGGTAAAGGTCAGGGCCGGGGACAAAGCACCGCAGGTCACACAGTCGCCAGAGCACCACCAGGAGTGAGCCCTGAGCACCGCCAGGTATAGCCCCCAACATGCTTTTTTTTTAAAAAAAAACGGAAGCCAAACAGGAGGAGGAGGAGGAAGAGGAGGAGGAGGAAGAAGAGGAGGAGGAGGAAGAGGAGGAAGAGGAGGAGGAGGAAGAAGAGGAAGAGGAGGAGGAGGAATGGGAGGAGGAAGAGGAGGAAAAGGAAGAGGAGGAGGAGGAAGAGGAGAAGGAAGAGGAGGAGGAGGAAGAGGAATGGGAGGAGGAGGAGGAGGAGGAAGAAGAGGAGAAGGAAGAGGAGAAAGAAAAGGAGGAGGAGGAGGAAGAGGAATGAGAGGAGGAAGAGGAGGAGGAGGAGGAGTAGGAAGAGGAATGAGAGGAGGAAGAGGAGGAGGAGGAAGAGGAGGAAAAGGAAGAGGAGGAGGAAGAGGAGGAGAAGGAAGAGAAGGAAGAGGAGGAGGAGGAAGAGGAGGAGGAGGAAGAGGAGGAGGAAGAGGAGGAGGAGGAAGAGGAGGAGGAGGAGGAAGAGGAGGAGGAGGAAGAGGAGGAGAAGGAAGAGGAGAAAGAAGAGGAGGAGGAGGAGGAGGAGGAAGAGTCCTCAAGCTTTCGGGAGTTTTTTCTTTTGCTTGGTTTCTGGACCCCACCTGGCAGTGCTCATGGGTTGTTCTGGTGTTGCCCGGAGACTTTGTGTGATCAGAAAGTCTCTTCCTTCTCCTCTTCCTCCTCCTCCTCTTCCTCCTCTTCCTCCTCCTCCTGGGTCAGAACCAGGCCTTGTGCTCTCATAGCCCACACTCAGCCCTCTCAGCCATCCCTGTGCCAGGGAGCGGTAACCCGCCACAGGGGGCCAGCCTACCCAGATACACCCAGGAAAGCGGCGAAGCACAGAGCTCGTGTCAGAGAGGATGGGGCTGGCCACGGCGTGGCATGGACCTTCTAGCCCGGACACGGAACGAAACTGCCCATGCTTCTCGGGGCGAGAAACAGCAGCACTGTGGGGAGGGGGGTCCCGGGACTTTCACAAACCAGTGAAGCAAACCCTCGGGGTCTCTCTTGCCCTGTGGATTTTTCTCTCAGCAGCAAAATGTACTTAACACCCCTGTGGGCATCTTGGCCCTTCTAAAGTGGGGTCGGGACCTTCCTGCACCTTGTTAGGCAACCACCACCCTCTGCCAACCCCAGGACCTTTTCACTTTGCCAAACGGAAGCTCCTTGCTTCCAGCAGTCACTTCCCAATCTCCTGCAGCCATCCCTCTCCTTGCTGTGATCAGACTCCGCCAGCCCCTCGCATGAGTAGGGTTGGCATTTACCCATTTGTGCCTGGCCTATTTCCTTCAGATAGGACCCCCTGGCTCACCCCGACTGGAGCCTAAAGTCAGGATTCCCTCCGTGGGACGTTGGGTCTCCCACGGATACTGCTCCCGATCTATCTGGGCCGTGGTGCCCTGTTGAGGTACATTCGAGGTTTCTCCTTGCAGCAAGAGAGCTTCGGAGACATCGCTTCAGATGCAGGGAACAGTGCCCCAAGGGGCACATCCCCCATGATTTCTGATTATTGCTCCTCTGTTACGAGCAGTTGGGCCTGGCTCAGGTCTGTTCCCCTCGCTAGGAGGTTACGTTCGTTCCTTGAGTTCCTGCCACCGTGTGTGTCACCCACTGCACTGCCTCCGTGACTCATTGACTCCCTAGGGATACTCCCAGTTCCCCAAGCCTGTGGTAAACTTCTCCTCGGGCTACACTTCCCCTGCATTGTTTCACCGTCTGTCACTGCCCCCCACTCTCCCGTGGTGGCCCTTCCCCTACATCCAGTCTGTGGGGTTGGGAATAAAGGCTGTTGACGACTGTCTGGCAATGGATCATCTATGGGACCCCGTCACCATGGACGGTGTTTAGACTCTTGACCTATGCCACTGTCTCCCTCCACAGGTTTCCCCAATATCCCAGAGCAGAATGTTCAAAGAGAAATTTGTCTGAGTTGGGGGTCCTGAGTGTGTCCAGATTCTTCCCATGTAGGGGAATAGTGAGAACACGGGAACCCCCACCCCCGCCAGGACCCCCCACATAGGGACGCTCTCCTCTCTGCACCCAGGGACACCCATGCCTCTTCATGTCGCGTCCACCTGTGGGCTCTTAGGGAGACGCTGCCAGGAGGTGGCCACCGGCCTTTGTTTGATGCTTACGGGTTTCATTCAGCCTGACGGTGCTGGGGACCTCCCCAGGACCCAGATGGGGAACCCACAGGCTCTGCCCCAGCCGTATCCTGGCACTGAATGCCACGTACGATAGTGTTTCAGAAATGCCCACACTGGGGAGAAGGTATAGCTCAGCGGCACGGCAATGCCTTGCCTGGTGCGTTCTGTTTTGTGACCACACCCCACAGTACTCGGGGACAATGTGTGGCTCCATGCTCAGAGTGACCCCTGGCCGTGCTCTGGGGACCAGATGTGGGGATTCCAGTCGGGGTCATCGCTATAGCCCCTTTCCTCCTGTACTGTGCCTCCAGGCTATGTGTCTCTGTGTGTGTTGTGTGTGTGTGTGTGTGTGCGCGCGCGTGCGCGTGCACACGCCTGTGTACCTTCTCAACCCATGAGAAACAGTGTCCTGATCTGCTGTGGATGGTCCAAGGCTCGCTCTGCCCACGGGTCACTTTCCAACCAGGTCCCTTCTGGCGCAAAGGCCAGGTGTGCAGGACCGTGCCTTGCCTGTGGGCGCCTGGGGTGGCTGATAGTTTGAGCTGCCTCCTGGTCACTTGCCTTGTGTGTGGGGGGGGGGGGATGTCTCCACATGGTCTGCGCTGCTTGCACACTCTCTGCCCCTGCTGCTGCGGGTGTTCTCATGGGAAGGGGGATCTAACGGTTTGTCCTGATGTGGTGATCTAACAGAGACCAATTGGGGATGGTCTAATGGGGTAATCTAATGGGGGTGATCTAATGGGGTGATCTAACAGAGAAGACTTATTGGGGTGATCTAACAGGGGTCATCTAGTGGGGGTGATCTAACAGAGAAGACTTAACGGGGTGATCTAACAGGGGTCATCTAATGGGGGTAATCTAATGGGGTGATCTAATGGGCATAATTTAACAGGGCTCATCTAATGGGGGTGAACTAACAGGGGTGATCTAATGGAGATGATCATACAGAGAAGACTTATCAGGGGTGATCTATCAAGAGTGATCTAACAGGGGTGTTCTAATGGGATGATCTAACAGGGGTAACCTAATGGGGGTGATCTAACGGGGTGATCTAACAGGGGTGATCTGACAGGGTGAGGTGAGGGGGCAGTCTGAGGGGTGCTCTTACTGGGGCTCTCGCAGGGCTGCTCTGACGGGTTCCCTAACAGCTCTCTCTCTCTCTCCCCGCTCCCTCCCTCCCGCCACACCCCCTCCTGGGCCTTCTCTTTGCCCCCTGCTCCAGTGTGACCAAGACCAGTGCATTCAGAGCACCAAATTCATGTTGCAGGCAGCGGCCACCCCCCTGCTGCAGAGCGAGCCCAGTCTGTCCAGTGATGAGCTGCACCTGTCGTCGGGGAAGCCGGGCCTGGGCACGCCATGCACCAGCCTAACACTGGGCCCGCCCACGCCACCCTCCTCCATGCCCAGCCTCAGCGCAGATGCCGTGCTGGCGGACTTGCTGCCACTGCAGAAAGAGCCGCTGAGCCACCTCCTGACGCCCGACGAGGTGCCGTCACCATCGCGGCTGCTGGGGGGCAGCCCCCTGGCACATAGCCACACGCTGCACGGGCTGGGCCCGGCCGGCCAGGACTCCCTGCATGAGGACTCGGTGCGCGGGTTGGTGAAGCTCAGCTCCGTGTGACGGCGACAACAGACAGCCCGGCGCTGGCCTCGGGGACATCCCGGACCACCCCGCGAGGGCTAGAGCTGCAGGATTGAGCCGTGGGCTCGCCAGAGTCTCCCCGCCCTGAGCACTTGGGCCGTGCAGATTTCTGGGCTGTTTGGAAGAGGAAGGATGGGCTGGGCTGCTGGGCCTGGGGACAGTGGACACGGGCCTGCTGGCTAGGACACTGACTGCACCGGTATTAACTGGCTGCCTGCTAAATGATGCCCAGAACAGACCTGCTGACCCCTCTCAGCTGACGCCCCAGTAGCAGTGCCTAGGCCGGGTGGGGGTCTGGGCCGCGCCCACCCCTGGCCTTTGTGCAGATCCCAGGAAGCTCTGCTTCTCTCTCTCCGGGTGTCTTCCTGTGTTCCTGGCTTGGATTTCGTGACTTTTCCAGCACTGATTCCTGGTGGGAGGGCAGTGCCCTGCCTGGCCCTGGCGTCCAGCGCACTGACCCTGGGGCTGCTAGCTCTGTCCCACCGGTTGGGTCTCTGAGGAGCTGTGCAGAGCCTCCCTGGCCTCCTCCTTCTCTCCTGGCTCCTGGGACAGCCAATAAAACCATGTCCTTGGCTCTTGGCATCTGCACACGGTTGTCCTTAACAGGCGGGGGTAGGGGGGGGACCCGTCACTTTTCCAATGGGAGCGGGGGGGCCGGGGGCTTGTCCTAATCCAGGAAGCCAGATTCCCAAACAGCCAAAGAAAAAAGGAAACATTTGCACTGAGGGTTTGTTGTTTATGGGATGATTGCTCAGAGGAGAGAGTAACTTTTCCACAGTTGTGGGTTTTCTTTTGTTTTGTTTTTTTCCCCCCTTTTGTCCCCAGTGAGACAGAATCAGCACCACATTTTCCAGTGGCGCCCATGGTTCGTTGGTTCTTGGGGGAGAAGGCGGCAGGTGGAGGGGTATGGGGGCTCCAGGAGCCGACAGCCGTGGGGGCTTCTGCGTGACCCCATTCAGAGGGGCGCCCTGATGCCCCTGAAAATGTGTCAGATCAGGCTGAAACTCTAGCCAGGGATCATGGCCCTGGTTTTGTCCCAGGCCAGGTTGCCAGGGACCCGTCCCGAGTGAAGGGAGTTGAAAATGGGTCATGGCGGAGGATTCAGAAATACACAGAAGAGAAAAGGTCAAGGCACGAGAGCCTTGGGACTGGATGCTTTGAACAGCCATCACTAGGGGGACAAGGGGAACATCCTGCATGTGGATGCCTCTAGGCGAACCAAACTGTAGAAGGGTCTCTGCAAAGAGCAAAGGCGGGTTGATCTGAACAGGTGCTTCCTCTGGGAGAAAGAGCAGAGACAAAGCGGTCACAGGACCTCAGTAGCACGCCCCCCCCTCTTGGCCTGGCATCCCGGATCTCAGGATCTCGCTACACACCCAATCCACTTTGCTCCCCAACTTGTCTGTCTCACCCTTTGTTCCCAACACCAGGGCCCAGGTTGCAGTTAAGAAATCACACACCAGGGGCTGGAGCGACAGCACAGCAGGGAGGGCGTCTCCTAACACGTGGCTGGGTTCATCCCCAGCATCCCATACGGGTCCCCGAGCACCGCCAGGTGTGATTCCTGAGTGCAGAGCCAGGAGGAGTCCTCGAGCATGGTCGAGTGTAGCCCCAAAATTTTTTAAAAAGGACAGGAAAAGAAAAAAGAAAGAAACCAAACACCAACCCAGTTTCCCTCCTTGGTCCTGGGAGGGACACTGGCTTTTAGTCGTCTGGGTGGCCGCTGCACACCTTGGTTCGTCCTTGCTTCATCCCTGTAACTCCAACAGCCACGTCCCAAGTTCAAAACCAGGCTCCCTCCACCCTGCAGTTCTGGTCACACTGCAGCCCAAGCCACGTGCTCGTGTGGGGAAGGGCTGTCTCTCTAGGCATGTGTTGCCTTTTGATGTAAAAGGGAAGGAGGAAAAGCAGAGTTTCAGGTCTACTTGGAATAAAGCCACTTCTCCGTAGGTCCCAGAGACAGGTACTGAGAAGCCCCGGGCCCTCTCTGCTCCGTGCCTTTGACCGTTTCCCTGGCCAGAGGGTCCTCATGAGCTGGCAGCGGGAGGGTTCCGCCCTCACAGCTCTGTTTGGTTTTCTTTGGTACCCACTGGAGATTCATCACCAAGGGGCTGCCATGACTCTCCCACTCAGGGGCAATTCTCCTTCAACCCAGAATCACGGTGCCCCCATGAGTGCTCCCTCCAGGTCTGCCAGCTTTTCTGGCTCACGGCCTCTTGGCTACTGCTCCTGGAACCCCAGAAGGCTCCAAGGAGATGGAAGGACGGGTCTGTTCTCCGCTGCTCCAGCATTGCCTGACCATACAGTCTGACTTCCTCTGGACTGCAAGGACCCCAGTGTCGAGCCCTGTGGTCACAGGTGCCGAAGGCCTGTGACCAGACCTACTTCCTACCTCATTAGCAAAATAAAAGCAACTTTCAAAAGCAAGGATCATTATTCATTTGTCTTAACCTGAGGTGGGAGTCTAGCAGGGAAGGAGATGGCCTGGCACACAGCTGGCCAGGGTTTGATCCCCAGCGCCCCATTTGGTCCCCCAGTACTGTCAGGAGTGATCCCTGAGCTCAGACTCAGGAGTCAGCCCTGAGCATCGCTGGGTGTGACCCAAACCAAAAAATAAGAGAGGAACAGGCACATGCCTTAACCAGGCTGTTGACTATCGATCTGTGGGATGAGATCCCACACCGTCACCCTCCCTGCGTGACTGGGAATTTGAGCAAAACCAATACAAGCTCTTCAGCTTCCAAGAGGGAGATTAACTTGACTTTGCTAAACCTCCAACCAGGGACAGAAGCACAGTCCTGGTCACTGTCTGCAGCCGGGGAAGAGCCAAGAGTCAAGAGGGAAACTCTGTCCACTTGGCTGGGGCCGGGTCCCAGGAGACAAACTTGCCAGGCAATGCATCTGCATTTCCCACTGACAGAGAACACAGCCTGTGTGCATGTGTGTGTGTGTGTGTGTGCCTGTACGTGCATATGTGTATGTGTCTCTGTGTGTGTGTGTGTGTGTGTGTGTGTGTGTGTGTGTGTGTGTGCGTGCGTCTAGATGCATCTGCACAGACCTTGGTCTTTCTAAATTCTGTCAGTGTGCTACAGAGTGATTGCATGCTAGCTACAGAAAACAAGATAAATATTTAACCATGCTATTAAAGTTTGGGCTGTTATCAAGCCAGCACACAGAGTCACTCATTTTGTTGGTTAAAAATTCATCCGCTTCCTTTCTCGCTGGGCCACAGCTGGGGGGCTTTAGGGTTTTCCATCATCCCCAGTGTTTGCAGACAGGCCGGCCTTTCTCCCACCCACATGAGCACACAGTTTGGCCCATTTCGTTCACAGAAAATAGCAGGAACAAGTATCAGATCTGCTTTCTGGGGAGCCCCTCACGTCTGTCCTAGAGCCAAGCCCAAGTCAAGTCCCTGAGGCCCAAGTTTCTGAGAGTGGCAAGAGGCTGCGTGTGTGGGCCCCAGTGAGGGTCTGTGCATGGATCCCCGTGCCCCTGCCCTGGAGGATTGCGTCGGGCATAATAGGCTGCTAGCCAGGTTTCCTCATTAAAGAATAAAACACCTTGGTGCTGGAGAGATAGCACGGTGGGTAGGGTGTTTGCCTTGCAGTGGCCGACCACAGTTCAGTTCCCAGCGTCCATATGGTCCCCTGAGCACCGCCAGGAGTGACTCCTGAGTGCAGAACCAGGAGTAATCCCTGTGCATCGGCCGGGTGTGACCCAAAAAGGAAAAAAAAAAGAATAAAACACTCTCTCGCTTATTCCCTGGAAACGTATGTGTGTCTGTCTCTGCTTATAAGACTAGGAAATAATAAATAAGATAAAGTGTTGCCTCCGTTCACGTAAGTATCAGAGATGCTGGTGTTTTGTAAGCCAGTCAATGTTCCAACAACTTGCCAGTGATGCACAGTCCCTGATAAAGCCATTGGAAATCAGTGGAAGTCTGGAGATTAGTTGTTTTTTTTCTGGAACGACGGAATTTGCAGCTGCTACAAGTTTAGAGATTTTTTCCCCCCAATCTCAGAAACCCCAGAAGTTGTATACAGAATGGACTAGAAAGCTGATAAGCATCTTGCATGCTTGCAAAGACTTCTCTTCCCCACTTGTTGGTTTTTTTAAAAGATCCTTGGTGTGGCTCAGGAAGCTATGAATAAATACCTCTCCTAATCGACCTTGATATGTTCATGCATCATTCATGGAAGAGACTGGAAGGCGTATCCAAGGAGACATCTTTTCTCGGTTCCACGTGAACGAAGATGGTTTCAGCCCGCAATTAACAATAAAATGGAAGCCCTGCTAACAGCTTGCCTTGGGGCCTTCTGTACTGATATTTCCCTGACCGTCAAGCATTTCAGACTGAAGAGAGCCAGGGGATGCATTTGGAGCTCTTAGTGGACTCACAGCCTTCCCTGAAATTGCAGTGAGCACGACAACCCTCAGCATCGCGTGCCTTCAGCATTTCGCTGCTTCCTCAAGTTCCCTTTGTGTTTGCAGAATGGATCTTAGACTCAAACATACCTTCTGCCTTCATTAAAAGCTGGGAGCACAGTTGGGCCAGAAAGGGAATAGTGGGTAGGGTTCTTGCCTTGCACGGGGCTCACCTGGATGAATTTAATGCCCCGCAACCCGAATGGTCCCCTGTGCCCGCCCCGCCCCCCCCCCCCCCCCCAGGAGTGATCTCACCACCTTGGACTGTTGTGAGCCTTGGATTTTTCCTCAACTTCATGAATCCTGCAGTGTTTATTCAGTTAGAGGAGGTCCGGGCAGCTCTGCAAAACGGATGAGTTTTCTAGGCAGAAAGGAGGTGGGGAAAGGACCTTTCTAGCAAAAAGAGTGTTTCAGACAGGGGAACTTTGGGGGACGGAAGGACGAGCCACCTCGTTGCTGCCTGGTGTGAACCGGAAAGTGCCGGGTTGACTGGAGGAGGCTGAACTAGCTATGGGGGAAGAGTCAGTCTTGGTTTGGGTTGGCGGCCTGACTTGGAACAAGGGACTCCAAGCTTTGTGCTTGGGTTTTTTGGGGGTTTTGTTGTTGTTGTTGCTGTTGCTGTTGTTGCTGTTGTTGTTGTTACTTCCTAAGCAGTGGTCTGGGGTCCCCATCAGAGAGTCTCTTCCCCTGGGCCCCTGTGTCACTCTAGGGCTGGAGGATGTGGCACTGCTCAGGCCCAGCAGAGCTGCGGCCTGTAGAACTGCATCAGGTCATGCTCAGGGGACCAGGCGGTGCCAGGAATCAAAGCCGGGTGTGTCGCAGGCCAGCCACATCCCTAACGGCTGCTCAACACTGTCTTCCCCGGCTCCCTGCACCGCCTCCCCTCTGAGCTCTCTGGAGCCTGACCACCCATGTGACCTGTAGGCAAGGCTTCTCACCTTGTCCTGCCTGGGGACAGAGCAAGTCTCTGTGACCCTGTCCCATGTCACATTCCCTCCAGCCTGGCCCCTGCTTCCTGAGCTTCCTCCCCCCACCCAACACTCCCCTCCAGCACCCACCACTCTCCCCCCATCCTCCAAGCTCCTCCCTCTCCTTCCACACACCCACAAGACTTCAGCCCCAA